ACTTTTTTGATGACAAGACAAATAGAAAAAACAGTAACCTTTTTAGAGACTCAAATATATAATACAGTTGTTGTTTTTTTGTTTCGCTTTTAAGAATTTTGGATGAAATGAAGACAATCCAGAGCATCCTGCCGCCAAACAGCACAGCACAATACTATGTTCATGTTCTCACCAAGATCACTGAGTTCATCTTATACCCTAACCACGGTAAGTCAGCTTCTAAGGTTGTCTGTAGGGAACTCTGACAATATTAAACTCTATCTCTCTAAACTAGCAGCTTAATCATATGTACTATTCCAACATTAATGATATAGTGTTTGTCAGTTGTACGGCAAGAACAGGTTGTGTTTGCATATTGAGTACAAAATTAAGTTTGTCAATATCTTCCTTGTTATTTCAGGCAACATGAGTCTTTGGGAACGTTTTGAGGGTCTATCAATGGAAACCTTACCAGAAGCTTTTGGCCAGGTAAAGCTGATGTACTCTGATATATACAGTATGAGAGCCTTTACAACAAATGCTTGCCTAATTGTTTTTTTTTTTTTTTTTAAACAGTTTACCAAACTTGTGGGGATGTTTGTGCAACTTGTAACAGAGGGCCCACCTGCTTCATCTTTTGACAATTTGAGTCATATTGTGCCTGTTTTGGAACAGGTGATGACTGGGAATGCAGACCAACACACATGGGTCAAGTAAGTGCTACAAATGATTAAATAGATTTTTTTAAACTATAGCTTTTTAACCATTTGAGCCTGATTAGGCAATCTATTTTTATTCATTTTTTATGAAAAGTCAGTTTTTATTTCTGTAAACTGTTGAATTTTTTTTTACCCCAGACTTGAGCAGATGCTGAAAACCCTACTTGGTGCCTTTGAAGGACAGGAAACTTGGAACAACTTCTCATCCGTCATGCCTCTTTTGGAAAAACTCACAGAAAATGTGGTGAAGATCATGCGAGCAAACAGCGGTGAGAGCTCTAGAGACATCAAACACAACAAATACAGGCAGACACCACTGGCTCGTCCAGACCAAACAAATTTAGATGGCTAAAAGGAATAAGACCCTCAGAGTGCAAGTCATCTGAAATCTGAAGCATACCAAGAGTGTGCAATCCTCCTTACAGGCCTTTTATTTGCAATGCCTAACACACGCATTATTTAAAATACTAAACAGGCACTTCCCTTGCAGCATATCTAACTACTCCAGCTGTTTCTTAATTTCTATTTATTACATTGAAGTTATCGCCACTAGACTAAAATTGACTCTTTTCCACAATACCTCTGCAAAAGCAGAATAAATTTATTGATGGCATAAGTGCTGACTCTAACTTTTGTTTGTCATTCTGAAAACTCTAAATTATCAGCTTTTATGAGATATTCTGTGTTAATATAAAGCTCAGATCACCCCTTTTTCTGCTTCTGATCTAGATTATGGTTGTTTTCAACCAGAGGTTGTTTTCTGAGCTGTACTTGTTTGTTTGTTTGTTTTTTTCTTTGTCTGAAATTCTTTTTCAAGCCCGAAAATTTGATCACTGACAAAAGGTTTTTCATTCAGCATTTCTCTTTTTATTTATTTGCTTTTTGAATAATTTTCTCCAGCTAAAAGTTTAGCTTCCAGCCTTATGTCAAATAAATTGGGCTTTAGGCATTTCTTTATAAGGTTTTGCTTGATTCAACTGTCACCAAATCTGAAGACTGTCATTGACATCATGCAAGAGCTCTTAAGACAGAGTTTGTGGTAAACCTTTACAGAGGAATTTTAAATAAACAACTGTCAAAAAGCTACTAAAAGCACCTGAAAAACTAATTCAATTTCCTATAGAGATCTCGCTTAAGGTCACCAGTAATGTTTAAGTTCCTGAATTGAATAACAGCTTTATCCTGGCATACACTTAAGCCAGGGAATTGCATTTAGGAAATCTCTTAGTTTTATATGATCTTTTAAACTTTATCTTTATTTTTGTCTAATCTGCAAGTCTGCAAAAGTTAGCATTAGAAACAAAGACTTTCTTGTCTCGTACTAATGTCCAGTTTTTTTTATGTCTGACCTACTTGTGCCAATTCTGACCTCTAAGATTGTTGTTTTGAATCCAACAAAAAAAGAGAAGGAATAATAGCATTGTCTGAACTATGCACAAACTTTTTCTGTGCTTTACATGATCATCATCATCTGCGCATTTTTACATTGGTAAATCAGCACATATTTTCTTCTTTTCAGAGATGCTACAAAGCCTTCAGGTCCCTCTGGTGGCCCTGATGAGAGACATTGTAGTGTCTGCGAACAGCAGCCATCTGAACATCTCTGAGCTCACAATGAAAATGCAGCTTGCAGTTGAAGGGACACTTCAAGCTGCCCAGCAGGTTAGCCAACATATTTTTACTCCTATGTTTAGGTTTCTTTAGAATCATTTGCTTGGTTTTCCTTTTTCATTTCCTGCATATCTGTGTTTGAGGCGGTGAACAAAGCAATTGCATCAACTGTCATGCATTATTGCACTTAAAAAGAGCTGTCTCATCCTTGTCTCACATCTTGTTTTTTTCATTACTTTCGCAACACCTTTAAATGTGGGCATGACTTAAGTGGTAAACAATTCAAGGGACAATCTCAGGATGTATAATAACTGTTGGTTGCATGAAGGCAGACATTGTAACCTTTATTAAAAAAAAACTCTATTTGTACAAAGCTATATATTATTTCTAGAGAAATGGGTGTTATGTGAGAGCGTCTGAGTGTCCAATTCTGTTTCAAGCACTAGGACTCTTAATTTTAAACATTCCGATATTATTAGCCTAATACCAACTGGTGATATGCATGTGCTTAAAAATATCTGAGCATACTAGGAATTATCTGCATTAGTGGAGAGGATTGTTGCTATCAAAAACATTTCAGCTATTGACAATATGCTTGGACATATAATGTTCCACTGTTTAAACAAAGTAATCTGACCTTTTTGATACTTTACCCATATGTTGAAGAATCCCCAAAGAGATGCAAAAGCCAATAAATAGCTTATTTTCAAACACAACATAACTAAAAATGAAGGCAGGAATTATTTCCTGCAGCAGTCTAAACTAAGAGCCTATTTGTTGAAAATGTGAAAAAAAAAAAAAAAAAAAAAAAATTGGGCAAATTTTGAGTTGTATTTAAAATTGATTTGTGATTTATTATGAAGAAAAAAAATGGATTTTCCTTTTATTCTGAGTAGAGTGGATAATATTCCAAAATAAAAAAGAAAACAACAAAATAATAATTCAGATGAGAAAGCCACAGCTCTTTTTGTCATGTCGCCCTTTACAAAACTGTAATGACATTCTCCATTAAAATATAGCCATATGTTCCAAAATTGGCATCTGGGTTCTGATATGGGATTTAAAATCGTTTTAATTATGCTCTCATAAAAATATGAAAAATGTACCTGTATCCCTACTAACTTAATCTCAAGCGGAAGTTTATTTGTGCTATAAAACTGCATCTTCTTACAGCAGTCAGTGGATTATATAAAACTTTGAATTCTTGTGTGGTTCTCCAGTGGGTAAAAAATTTGTACATATTAATGCATGGCTGGTATGAGTTTTTCTAGTAGGTCATTTTAGGAGTAAAATAATGAAGCCCCTGAATCTCTTCAGCTGAGGATAAACAAATACAATCATTTAAATTGTATTCTTTACCGACCTTCAACTCAGTCATTTCACTTTTTCCTGTATTTGTCAGCATTTTTAATGAAATACAAAATACTCCTTTGCCATAATTCAAACTTCGATTTAATCTCCCTCAGCTACTGTGCAGAATTCCTATCTCAACAACAACAAAAAAATGAACATTTAGAATAACTAACTAGAGTGATAAACTCTCCAAAACAAACTTTTCCATATAAAATTATTGTATTAAGCGATTTTTAAAAGAGCCATAATATTCGTTGTGTCTACCATAACATTTTTTTTTTTTAAACTGTACAGTGGGGTAAAACCACTTACGTCATATGTTGCAAGACTTGTTAATGCCCTTACAGTTCAGACATGGGAGATACTCCTAGTTCCTTGTTTGGGATTTATACAGTTCTCATGTGGGTGTGTAACAGTAAAAACACAGAAAGTAAAAAAAGATACCTGTGGGAGAATGATGCCCTTGTATTCTGTTCTCTGTAAACCTCAAAAGTAGAGCTATCAAGATGTTCCCCTTGACACCCCCTCCCTCCCATCTTTTGTGTTTTAGACATAATGTGCACTCTTTTCTTTCAACAGGTTATTTAACTGTATGAAATATGATAGTTCATTCTTTCGTTCTCTCTAAGGCAAATGGCACTTTGAACTGCAGCGAGGCTCTAAAAGCATGGCAGCCTGTTGGAGAAGCAGCAGGGGTTAAACTTTCCACAGTTGTTGCGTGGTGTGACTCCAGCCTGCAGCCTGTTTTGGAAGCCTATGCAGCATCACAGGCTGAGCTGTCCCACCTGAACATGAGTGTGAGTAGGAGCATGGCCAATTCAAATGCAAACACCAAATGTGTTCCAAAAAATTTTCCAACTTGGAAAAATAGCAGTTTCCCCACTTGGTGGCAGTGTTGTCACTTAGAATATAAACCAACTCCCTTTTAACACTTATTTTGTCTTCTTTATACAGCACATGAGCATGGAACCAATAAGTGTGAGCTCCGCAGCTGGCAGGATGGTCAAAATATTGCAGTCTCTCTATCACGTCAGCATTAACCACACACATGTGATAGAGCAGTTCATCATGACTCTCTCCAGTGAGCTCCCCCAGCTGACAGGCCTGCATTTGAGCTACGAGGGACAAAATTACTGGAACAAGCAGCTCCAGGACATGCAGTTGCAGAGCAGGTCAGCCACAATTAGATTATGATGCTCCTAACTCAATGTGCTCTTTAATCTTGTTATAATTTAAATGCTCTCAAGGAAGAAAACCATTTAACAATGTATTGGTGTTGAATCTGGCTTACTAACACTGACACACATTAAGAACTGTTTTGACAGTAAATCATATCAAGTCACATTATTAGTTTCATTAGACTATTTAGAATTTCAAGGAACAAAAGCACTTTTTCCTGGACACAAATTGGGTATATATATATATATATATATATATATATATATATATATATATATATATATATATATATATATATATAT